ATCGATATTCAGATAAGACAGCGCGTCATGTCTAGAGATCCTGCTACTTTTGATGATGCTTTAAAGGCCACTATAAGTGAAGAAAGTATAGAGACTCTGATGGCACAGCCCAGTTTTAAAATCTGACCCATTAGAGAAGTCAAACCTGATACAGGAAGGTCAGCGAAGGATTGGGAAACATTAAACACCACTATCGAGGAACTTCGATCTCAAGTAGCTGAATTATCAAGCAAGTCGTCCTCATCTAGGAAAGACCAGCTATATAGAAAAAACGATTATTGTCCGATTTCCTACCCTCGTCTAAGATGAAATAGGCCACCAACACAAATTCAACGGATAGACAACGATTAGCCGGATTCCGCATTAGAAGAGGAGGAAAAGTGGAAGGGCATCATACGAACCACTAGAAGTCAAATGAAGAGACCCCGTTATCCTGTGCTACGTGAATAACGTTCCAGTAAAAGTTCGTATAGATCCAGAGTTCAAGGACACAGTATTGTCAAACGAGGTCGCCAATAAATTAAAAGGAAAGGCCCCAGTTAAGTTTGGACAACGAAGGAAGATAGAAGGTCCGAATGGAGAGTCCATCTCAACCATAGGTATGATTGTCCCTATTTTTAAGTTTAGAGGACACAAGTTCTCTAGAGCATGCAAAATTGTCCGTTCGAATACTATCGCCCCTTTTGAAGGCATGATTGGAGGAATGCTTCTAGAGCAAGAGAAGTTAATTCTTGATAGAGACAACGAGCGAATTATTTTACCAAATGGTAAAGTCAGTCATTTTTGTTCATGGAGAAAGAAAAAAAGGTCTGCCCGTAAAAGAAAGACAACAGGTGACTGGACAGAAGAAGAGGCGAATAAACCCCACTTCATGTGCTCCACGCATCCCACAGAACAGTCACAGGTGATCCGAATTGTTTGAAATGACGTCAAAACAGATATCAAAAGAATCAACATAGAAACAGGGGAAACCGAACCTGATTCAGAACAATCTTTCACATCAGAGTCTCAAGAAGAGCCGAATATAGGCACACTGGAGAAAGTAAATCAAAGTGAAGCCGAAAACAAAACTCAACACTTCGAACCAGCTTGAACATCCTTACAAGCTGGATTCAGGCCTTGTTAATCATCATTTCCTTGATAGGAGGACCAAGCATGTCCATTGAAGATACACCGATATGACCAAAAGCAATTACCAATATCTCCTCAGGAAGTCGCATACCTATACCTATTCACCCATCAACAACATCTCCTAAAATTAGAGTAGGGCATTTATAGAAAAAAGTCTCGCTGCAAATCAAGTATTTAGTGGGCAGTAGCATTAGAACTCCTGACACCAATGTGAGATACACAGTGGGTCACTGATTAAGTCCCAATTGGCCACTCACCCTCCTAGCCATCCAACGACCCGAGATTATTTACCTTTAAACACCAATTTGATCTTTGAAAAGAGATAGAAGATAGAAGTCACACGGAACAACCTACAGCAAATAAGGTGGAAATCAAGCACAGTGATGTTACAATTAGCTAAAAACTATTTCACAGACAAAGCACTGTGAACTGGTGCATTGTCTTGGTGCAAAACCCAACTGTTTCTTCACAACTCTGATTCTTTTCTTCTCATGCGTTCACACAATTTCATCAAGACTTCAAGGTAATACTGATTTACTGACTAGACATTGGGAACCCACTGCCATTACAATACCCTGAACATCAAAGATAACAATCAATATGGCCTATGCTTTCTTTACCTTCCAAAAATCATTTGTGCCATTCAAAACCACATGCATGAGACATACACTCATCACTATAAGCCACATACAATTTCTAAAAAACAAACAAACACAAACTGAAAATTTTGTTATGGATTTCTTCAGTTTCACCAGAAAATGTTAACTCACTGTTCATTCTTGCATTTCATTATTTTCTGACCAAGGGTAAGAAAATGTCTATATATTTGAACACATGTCCACTCAATACTGAGTAAAGTGATGGAGTTGATCCTTATCATTGCACAGTGACAGGTTAGAGCATGCTCTATAATAATCTCTTTCTCTTCCACTCAATTTCAGAGTTATAGGTTAGTCTTTTTTTTTTTTTTTTTGTTTGTTTTTGTGTGTTTGTTGAACCTTGGATCAGTTTTGTGGAAAAATAATAATATACAAAATGTAAAAATATATACAACTTATCAACTTGTGTTTTAAACGTTTGTTTACTTGTTTTTGACTTATAAGTAATTTTGAAGAAAAATAAAAAAAACATTCATTTCTAATATCAATATTACTAGTAAAAATATAAATTTTCAAAGACTCAGATAAGACTCAAATATTTTAACACCTTTTGTGTCATCATCAGGGTATATTTCCATAGAAGAAAATTTAAAATACTATTTAGAACACTAAAAACATTTTAACTTACAAGGAGACCCTACGGCTTTGGGGAAACAGATTTTGATGATTTTTGGTGTACAGATAGTACAATATGTGAGTGTACTACCTGTAAAATATTAAAGTGCAGTACTCAAATATAATCGAGAAAAACGAACTTAAAGTTTTTTTTAGCACTTTATATATAAATTATGTGCGCTTCCATTTGAGCGTCCTGTGGCTGAGTGGCAATGATCCTGACTTGTACGCTTGAGTTCCCGGGTTCGATTCTCATGTATACTTTTTCTTTTTTTAAATTCATACTTATAATGTATCTATTTATTTACTCATTCATTTATTTCTTATTATTTATTTATTTTAATTTAATTTCTACTATTCCAAGTCTAATATTTTTTTACTTTTGTTGACAATAACGGTGCGTTCTTGACACCTGTGTGTCAACTTTCCCATCTAATTGTTATCACTAACGGTGACCGATCTAATTCTCACTAGTAGCGTTTTTTCTATCGGAGTTCTTTTTCACTCACTCTTTAACAGTTCGTTTCTGAATTTCAACATGAATAGACATATTTGTATTTGTGCAGTGAAATTTATTTTGAATAATTATTTTATAATTAAAAAATGTCATCAAGAGAAGCAAGTTCTTCACGTTGTGATGGAAGAACTGAACTGAGTGAACTGTTACTGAAAAAACTGTTGATGATAACTCTTATACTCTATAACTCTTCGATATACAGTGATGTATCGAAGCTGCGGCTAAAAAATGAAATAGTGTATTATGAGAGTTTACTTTTTGAAAATAATTTAATTGCAATAACATCTTCTGATACACTATCTGAAAATGCTATAGGCACAGAATTAGACAATAAAACATTGGATGTGTTGAATGGTAAAATTTATAAATGTTGCAATTAAATTATTTTCGAAAAGTAAACTCTCATAATAACTACTCCATCTTTTAGCCACAGCTTCGATACATCACTGTATAGAGAGTTATCATCAACAGTTTTTTGTCACAACGGGAAGAACTTGCTTCTCTTCATGACATTTTTTTAATTATAAAATAATTATTCAAAATAAATTTCACTGCACAAATACAAATATGTCTATTCATGTTGAAATTCAGAAACGAACTGTTAAAGAGTGAGTGAAAAAGAACTCCGATAGAAAAAACGCTCCTAGTGAGAATTAGATCGGTCACCGTTAGTGATAACAATTAGATGGGAAAGTTGACACATAGGTGTCAAGAATGCGCCGTTATTGTCAACAAAAGTATAAAAATATTAGACTTGGAATAGTAGAAATTAAATTAAAATAAATAAATAATAAGAAATAAATGAATGAGTAAATAAATAAATACATTATAAGTATTTATGAATTAAAAAAAAAAAGTATACACGGGAATCGAACCCGGGAACTCAAGCGTACAAGTCAAGATCGTTACCACTCAGCCACAGGACACTCAAATGGAAGCACGTATAATTTATATATAAAGTGCTAAAAAGAAATTAAATTAAAATAAATAAATAATAAGAAATAAATGAATGAGTAAATAAATAGATACATTATAAGTATGAATTAAAAAAAAAAAAAGTATACATGAGAATCGAACCCGGGAACTCAAGCGTACAAGTCAGGATCATGCCACTCAGCCACAGGACGCTCAAATAGAAGCACGTATAATTTATACATAAAGTGCTAAAAAAACTTTAAGTTCGTTTTTCTCGATTATATTTGAGTATTGCACTTTAATATTTTACAGGTAGTACACTCACATGGTGTACTATCTGTACAAAGATCATCAAAATCCGTTTCCCCAAAGCCGTAGGGTCTCCTTGTTAAACATATTCTAAAATCTTTCTAACAAACTCTAAACCCAGAAACAGACAAATTTTAGAGATAACTCTAAGATTTGTCTATCTGTCAGACTAACTCCATCATAACAGAATTTCCTTAAGCTCCCATATAAGAAATAAACAAACTTCTAGCAATTTGCTACTTGTAATACATCTTGAAAAAATTTCAAATTTTTTTCTATCTTTCTAAAATCCTCATCTTCTGCACTAATTGATCAGCATCATTATTCTAAAAATAAAATTTGATGATAAAAAATTAGTCTAAATTCTGTTTTATTGGAAAACTCAAACAGTTACATTTAATGTTCTAAATAGTATTTTAAATTTTCTTCTAGGGATGTACACTCATGATCGTGAACTGTGGAGAATAAAATGTATTCACAACTTTATTAAAGTTCTCCAATAAAGCAGAGTATGGTTAAAAAACTTATTTACTGAACTAAAATGAGTTCAAACAGTCAATAAGTAAGTAATTACAAATCATCTATCACAAAGAAAACTGGATGGCTGAATGGAAACGTGTCTTCTAATCTGAGGGACCCAAACCTGGAACCAGACAAATTATTGAATTTTCATGAATGATCTGGTTCAGATATGTCAGGTTTCAAATCTCATTCATCAATGACTGAGTATACTAATCCATACGCAAAAATGAACTCTTATTAATTAATCTAGGCTAAGCAGAAATTAAGGGTAAAAAAATTAGAAAAAAGTATGCAATTCTATTTACAATTTAGCAATTTAAATTAATACTGACCATCTTTGCTAAATATTTCTCTAATTGGCCAACAGTTGTTAGAAGTTCCATTTTTAGACTTCTTCCTGTTCTGTCAATTAAAGTCTGTTCACCTGAAGCCCTTTCAAGACGAAATCTTAATCTTCTTGTCAAAATCTAAAAAAAAAGGTGTTTATATTTTTATTCTTTATCTTTACTTAAAAGAGTATCTTGTAAACCTTTAAGAATAAAACTTGCTTCCAGTAATATTAAAAAAATTATAATAAAAGTATAAGCAATTGTTTCTTTGAATTAATAATCTATTATAAAGTTAATTTTAATTTTAAAAAATGGAAATTAATTTGCTTGAATAAAGAATTATAAATGATCCTGTTATATATAAACAGTAAGTTAATTTTAGCGGTAACATTAAAAAAAAGTCTGTTTAATTTCTGAAACATTTAATTTCAATTGCCTTTTTTAATATAACAATGTTATAAAAGAATATAACAATATAAAAATATAAACAAAATTAAATTCAAATATAAAATTTTAACTAAAAGAAGTTCAAAATTTTTCATTGCCATTGTGTCAGAAGATATGCAACACACCACCACTACTACAATACTATATAGTAAAACATATTAAAGTAATTCAAACTTTTGTAAAAATTTAATACAATTTAATACAATAATGTATCAAGAGCACAAATTATTCTGCAGGTACTAATAATACATTGTAATAATCTCTTCTTATATATATATTCACATGAAATATTCATTTTTGCCAATAAACTTTCCAACCAAATACAAAATAGTCTCCAGAATCAAATAAAAAGATATATCTTAACAATCTAATTGTTACTGATTATTATGCTATTGTTTATATTGTAAGCTCAGATTTAAAACATGACTCAAGTTTAATTATTCAAAAATACTTTCTTTTAAAATCATTTTCCTTATTTAATAGTAGTCGTGTCAATAATTTTTGCTTAATTCTCATATTGATTATACAATGTAGTTCTTATATTTTAAAAAATATATATATAAAATTTGTTAACAACAATTTTAAATGAAAAAATTTTGTATCATCACATAGATATAACTACTTATTATCATTTAGTAACATTATTCCAATTCATTATTAAAATCATTTAGTTTACATTATAATTTGATCAAATATAAATTTTTAGTATTTCAACTTAATTTTAAGATGAAAAGATGAAATAGTTGAGCAGATTTCTAAATCAATGAAGAAAGACAGAAACACTCAATTTTACCCACTTTCACATGTTATTCCCCCAAATCAGATTTCATCTTAATTAATGAGATGAAATTTATAAATAAAATTTTTGAATTGCATTATTAAGGGATTTTAACATACATATAAATTTAATATTCACATCAGTGTTGTTGAAGAATATATTTTCACATTTCAAAAATCTATGAAACAGAAAACACAAAAAATATTTTCTCTTACTTGTAACCCAGAACTGGAACCTGGAGTATCATAAAGATATACTGGTAATTTCTCTATTGATTCCAAAACTGAAATTAACTTTTTTACAAGAGCAATTGAAGGAACAACACTGAAAATAAATAATATAATAAAATTAATAAATTTTGATAATAATGTATATAACTTCAAGCATTTTCAAGCATTAATGATCATCAAGTGAATCAAAAAAGTAAATAAAAATAATAATTCTCTGAACATTATCATCATTAAAATTGCATTCAGTAACAAAACTGACAAATTTATTTTTAATGAATTTCAGAATAGTTATACATTAATGTAAATTAAATTTTAAAAATATATTAAATAAGAAAATATTCAAATAAAAATTTAGTTGTGAAATATTAATTATGGCTTAAGAATGATAATAAATTTAAAGATTTCATTTATTTTCTATTATCATAGTTGTTTTTTTTTAATCTTTATAACATATATTATCATTTACAAGAATTTTCTCTAAAATTCTTATCCAGTTTATTGTAGCAATCCCTAAATGACAATTTCTTTTGACAGCCCAAACTCTACTTGAAAACCTTGATTTTAATTACTGATATAGCAGCAATACTTTTTCCTAAGTATTGCTGCTATATTATTATATTTGATCAGTATCATATTTATATTAAAAATAAATATATCTCAATACCAAAAACTATCATATTAATATTTCTTGGCCCATATGTTACATCACAACAAAAAAAATATGGGAGAAAATGAGAGATATTTGAATTTAAATTGCCTTGCATAAATTTCCCTTCTCTCTTTTGACTATAAATTAGCTCCTAGAAAATTAACTGAAAATTAACCAAAAGATTTCCTGGAAAATGAGAAATATTCTTTAATAAATTACAATAAATATAGATACAAATTTTCACAAAGATAAAACCTTTGCTTCTGTTTCTCTTCCAATATGGAGACATCCTTCCTTTTTAGGCTACTGCCTCCACAATAAAAAATGCAAAATATGGTAAAAGTGTCCTCTGGTGCTTATTGTGATAGTGGCAGGAGCACCAGAGGACACTTTTACCATATTTTGCATTTTTTATTGTGGAGGCAGTAGCCTAAAAAAGGAAGGACGTCTCCATATTTTTGTGAATTTTTACGGACTGCTGATGGTGTGAAACAATGGAAGAGAAAAAGAAGCAAAGGTTTTATCTTTGTGAAAAAGTTGCATTTATATTTATGCAACTTATATTTATTAAATGTAAAATAATAGTAAACTGTATATTTATTAAATGTAAAAAACCATCTGCCATGTTTATTTTTTACTACTTTTACTTAGAATTTTATATTTATTAAATGTAAAATAATAATAAACTGTATATTTATTAAATGTAAACTGTATATTTATTAAATGTAAAAAACCATCTGCCATGTTTATTTTTTACTACTTTTACTTAAAAATATTCTGGTTTGTATTAAACGCTATACTATATAATTAAAATTAAGCAAAATAAATACATTACAATAATTAAAATACATCAAACATTTCTCACTATGGTTGCAACATAAAACATCACAACTACAAATGTCATCATTGCAAGTTGCAAGTCACTGGACTAATAAAGTATTTTTAATACTTTGTGTTATTTTGCTATTTTCTTTAAAAAGCAACTTAATATTAATATCAAATTATGCATATCCTATACTATCTTAATCAATACTTTAACTTTTAGTGTAGTTTTATATTTAATAAAATTAATACAAATATAGATCTTACCCATCTAATGTAGATTTTTTGGAAAAACATTTTCTAAATATTCTCACTCTTTTCTTCAATAACTTATTGGAATGACAAACAAGACTTGTACCTTCATCATAACTCTAATAATAATAAGAAATCATAATCTTTGAAATTAATAGAATTTGATTTCAGAATTTTGAAAAGCATAAAATAGCATAGTATCAATGTAAATTTTCAGATAAAATTTATCACTTTATAAATATACTATCTTTATAGTAGAATTGGAGAATGCACACTTGTACACTTTGTTGTTATAACAAAAATTGAGTATTTTAAACCATCTCATTTAATAATAAAGTTTAAAAAGGGAAAAAAAACAAATTCGTGCACTATATATCAACAGTAAAACATTAGCATTATTTTTTAAATAATGCTAATGTTAAACATAGTAGTAATGTTAAACATAATGTTAAAAAGTAAAACATTAGCATTATTTTTTAAATAATGCTAATGTTTTACTGTTGATATATAGTGCACACATTTGTTTTTTTTTCCTTTTTAAATTTTTACAAAATTTGTAAAAAATTTGTAAAAAAAATAATAATAAAATATTAATATTTAGTTTTATTCTTTACATTTATATTTTTACAAAGAAGCAAAACTGATTTCTTAATTTAATGTTCACTGTTATCACAGTAGTAGTAAGAGATACAATTGTTAAAACTTTTTTCATATAATACATTAAAAATGTTATGTATCTAATGCATTTGTATTTAGTACACACTTGAATTAAGCATACAAAATGCATTTTCTATTTCTAATTAATTTTGATTAGATATATCTAATTGGCTTCTAAGGTAAAGAAGATTACAGCTACTCTTTGCTAATTTAGTCATGTTGAACATAAAAATTTTTATACTGCCTGTATTTTTTGTATCATGTACAAATTTCCTTCACTAATAGAAATATTTCAAATTATTTCATATACTTCTTATGAAGAAGTAATTTAATGTGCCAAAGTGTAAATGTTCAAAGAGAAAGATTCCATCCAAGGCAGAAAAAAAATTCATTATAAAAAATTATTAAAAGCTTGATTCATTCAAGAATGTTGCTATTTGAGGTAAAATTGTCTCATCAAACAATTTGTCAAAATATTAAATAAAAATAAAGACTGTTTCAAGTACTGTATTTTCCCTCCAAAAAATTTAGGTGATTAACCTGCAATGTTAACTGACTGCTAATACAAATTTTCTTAAAAATATCAGTTAATAATAAATCAATACTATACTACGACAGTAGCATATTAATTCATAGGCCAGTTATCTTTAAAAACAACAGTAATAAAATAAAAAGCATTTTTAATTTGGTAAGAGAAAATATTTATCTAGTCAACTGACCAGTTAAAACAAGCTTGTAGAAAATATTACACTATAAAATCTACAGTCTATATTCATCTTCAACAGCTTTAATTTATTTGAGAAACAACATAATTTTTCTTAAATCAATTTTCCCTTATCCAATTATCTTGTAAATTGGCAAGTTCATTATTTATAGATAACATTTCCAAGAGAAACAAAATAATCTTTCAAATAATTAGAAATAAAGATGAGAAATGAACAGGAATTTACAAATCAAAAAATTTATGCAGATTTCAGATATTGCAAATTGAGGTTGCACATTGGAAAACTTTAAAACTGAACTTCAATAATAATTTAATGAGACATAGTATTTAAAGATTTTGTTATTTATAAATAAATTTATGTTTTGAAAGTAACTATACTGTTAATATACTAAAATATCAGATGCCATAATAGTTGCTTTTGATAAAACTGGGCACTGATTTTCTAGTTGTGTTACTTCCAGAAGATAATACAGTAGAGCGTCTATTATCCGAATCAATTGGGGACTGGGGTTGTTCGGAAAATCGATATTTCAGATAACCGATTATGTACGAAAAAATATATTAATTTATCCCATGTTGAAATTTTTCTCCGTTGCGTGTCACTTCGCGTTGAATTTTTGTCGATGTTAAGCCTAACGAAGACTATTGTATCGTTAAAAAATATTTTTTTATTTTGTACGAACAAAATAAATATATTGAAAAATATAAAAACAATAAAAAATTATACTTCAGAAGTTAATTTAGTATCAAAAACGTAAAATATTTGAGTAGCCCAAGACATAGCCAAAGATTGCAGTGCCACAGCACTGGCGAAAATTTAAATTTGCTGACTGGAATTCTTTCGGATAATCGACGTCTACTGTATCTGACAAGGAAACCCTTTCAGGCAGTGCTTTAGAGAATGGACCTGACTATGGTCTTCCAACATTCTTCAAAAAAAAGCATCTGAAGATCTTGTCTGCTACTGGAGATTGAACAAGGACATTGAAAAATAAATGTATATAATAATGCCTTTTGTTAGTAAAAAGTTTAATAGTTTTCTGTTTCTCCATCCATGCAAATCTGAGAACTTATTAATCCAACAACATATTTTCAGGCTTCTTTTGCACTATATAGCTTGAGAAAATTCAGCTTTTAGATATTTGATTATAAAGACTCAGGCTTGGCTGCTATTATAATAAACATGTAATATTTCAAGAAATCAAGCTCTTTTTAAATATTAATAAAAGACATTCTATGGAATGTATAAATTATGTATAGTATGAAATAGGTACGTTATTAGTAAAAATGTAAGAAAATTTTTATACTTATTTCGAATAATTATTTCTTTTAAAAATATAAAATTATATTTGTAATTAAATTAAATCAATCATAAATATTAAAACTCACATGCTTTCCTAATAATTTCAATAATGCTTGAACTAATCCACTACTATGTAATTCATAAGCAGAAACAGCTCTTTCATCTTGTAAAAGAGAAGCAAGTTCTTCCAAAGCACCTTCTAGCATTTTTTGCCATTTCTGCCATTCATTAGGCTATAAAAACAATAAAAAAAATTAATGTTGACTTTTAGTTTACCACTAATCTAATATAATTCTAACCTTTTTCCAAAAATTGTAGTTCATTTTTAAAATTTTGTATTAATTTAACTGTTTTTTAAATTCAGTTTAATTTCTGTTTTCAAATCACAGAAAAAATCTTGATACTTACATGTTGAAAATTAGAAGACTGTTTGTGACAAGCCCATTCAATTTGTGCTACTATTGTACATAATTTAGCCACAATTCCTCGAGGTTGTGCTTGAGCCGATTTAAAGTTGTTATCATATATTTTTCTTGCCTGAATTTTTACCTATAAATTAAAAATAATAATAACATAAAAAAATTTAAATAATAAATTTAACAAAAAATTTATAAGAGTAAGTCAAAAGGTAATAAGCCAAACATCAGAACTACTTTGTATTTAATACATAAACAACAGTCACAGGAAACATTCAAGCATTTGTCCAATTGTGAAACAAAACATTCAATGGTTTAAGTCAGGATTTCCCAACGAGGTCAGTGTTGATCTCTTAGGGGTCAATGAAAGCTTGAGGGGGAGGGGAATTGATAAAACTTTGCAAAATATAAAAACATTTTTTTTTTTAAATATTTAAAATTTTACATTTTTTGCTCTTAAATAAATGTAAGAAAATGTCTTTTAAAAATTNACTTATTGAACTCTATTATATGTACAGTATATATATAATATAAACAGTTTTTAACTTTATTTTTTCAAGATGAGACATATCAAATTACTTTCCATAGGTTAGATGATGTTAATTAAGTATTATATAATATAAACAGTTTTTAACTTTATTTTTTCAAGATGAGACATATCAAATTACTTTCCATAGGTTAGATGATGTTAATATAGTATTATATAATATATAGTACATAATATTGAAGGAGTTGGTTGAAAAGATTGGCTCTGTGAATGTTAATTATGTTCCTGTGACTAAAGAATGTAAGACATCAGTTTTTTTTTTATTTGTACAAGGCATGTTTTTTAAGTAAGTACCGTTTTGATATTAAAAAAACACAACTGCAATTTTTAAAATAATTTTATTCTTACATGAAAGCCTGTACCTTAATCTACTTTTCAACATAATTTCCTCCAATATGAAGGCACTTTTCTATATCATACAACCAGCTTCTGAATTCCATCCTCATAGAAACCTGCCGCCTGATTTACCAACCACTGCAGCTTGGAGTTTTGACATTGTTGTAGCGCTAACTGCTTACATGCCTTTTCAAGTGGAGGAACAAGTGGTAATCACTAGTCGCTAGATCAGGGCTATATGTAGGGTTGATCAACTTGTTCCCAACTATATGATGTAATAAGATCTTGAGTTCATTAAGCCACATGTAGATGGGTATTGTCATGAAACAAAACAATCCCCTTACTGAGCTTGCCACGCTTTTTGTTTTGGATAATAAAATCATAAAGCATCTGTTTTCTCAAACTTTTGCAACAACTTTCTGCACCAAGTCTTCAGTAATGACAGACAGTCGCCCACTACGTTCCTTGTCATGGACATTACTACAGTTAACTTTAAATGCTCTAACCCATTTTCTTACCATTCCATTGCTCATAATATTTTTTCCATACACCTCACTAATATGCTGATATGTGTCAGCCACTTTCACATCTTTTGCATTAAAAAAATCGAATCCCCGTGCTACTTCACAATCGGTGGGATTTTCAATTGTCTGAGGCATTTTAAACACACACAAACAAATATAAAACGAATGAATGTCCGTAATTGCATCTGTGGCTAGCCAACAGATGTAGGTACTCAGCGCACATTCACAGAACACCAACCATAGCACTGCAGCAGTCCTACTTTAAAACAGTACTTACTTAAAAAACACGCCACGTATTTAGTCTTCAATTTATAATACTTTATGTAATAAAGATGATAGCTGTACTCCAAACTGTAAACAACAGTCTACAATACTCTGAAAATTAGCAAATAATAGTGCTCTAAACACTTTTCTACTAGAAGCAGAATGATAACTTCTCCATAAAATTCCTCTTCAAATAACAAAAACCTTTAATCACTTTTGTCAAAATGTTTAAAAGTAAGCTTTGATTATTATTTATGGAGAACATAAAACAAATTAAATTGAAAATGAAAGAAAAACACATTGCAACAGACTTAATTAAATTTACATGAAGATTAAATGAAGATAAAAAATGACATAACCTAAATAAATTAAATTGAAAAAATTATGATCAAAATTAATAAATTTTAAATCACCCATGTAAACTAAAATAATAAAATTGAAGTCATAAATTACATACAGTAATCAATATAAAATATAAAAATAAACAGCTGAGAACCAAACCTTGCAGTATACTACAGGAAAAAATTCACAAAATTAAAACCTCTAGTTTTTATTTTACAAATACATACAATAATTGTTCAACCAAAAAACACTTGCTTGATAGATATCATTGGAAATTATTTTGATATACAAGAGGTTAAAAGTGATATAAAACATGTATTTGATTTTGTTATCCAAATAAACTACATAACCATCTTTCTTGTTTTCAAAACAATTTAAAATTTCAACTTGACTTTTATTCAAATTAAAAATTGTACAGTAGAAACAAATCCAACAATGTTAAAAATGTTTCAATAAATAATCATACAAACATATCTGAAAGATTGTCATCATAACAGAGAAAATGAAAATATATACATTTGTTTTCTTCAAAAGAATTTGATATTGTGTCATTCTATGTTTACAGGACATCTGGATCATTACTTTTTGCTAACCCTTATATATAATAAGCCAAAACAGTCAGTTATAACATTACAATAAGTACATTTAATAAATGGATTAATAATTACTTTAACTATATAAACTCAAAGTGTTATAAGCTTCAATTTTTAAAAATGAAAATATTTCAAAAATGTCATTTAAAAATGTTTTAAACTAGAAATTATTCAAAAAATTTACAGGATCCATACAGATAACTCCATCTGTGATTCCCTGACTAATTATGACATTGTTCCCTAATCTATTAAGGTCTATGAATTTCTCCTTTCCATTATGTAATATTTGGCCAAGTCTAGCCCATTTTGCACACAATTATATAAATTTTTTTATTAAAATATACTTTATTCACATCTTACAAAAAACTTCACATAAAATCAATTACATAATTAGCTACAACATTTCTACATCATATAAAAAATGTCATGGTTTTATTTAAATTAACTTGTAAATTTTATTTAAATAAGAAAAAGATTTGCATCATAAAATCAAATTTTCTTAAAGTGAGGAGGCAGGAAATTCAAAATAATTTAAACAAAATAAACCATGCACTCCATGAGAGGGAGAAATTGCTTATTGGTGCTATATTTGATGTAGATCAGGACCCATTCAAAGTCATTACATTTCTTCCAATCCCTCCCTGAAACTTATAATGAGTGGCAAAATTTTCGTGGAAAAGTGGATCATTGTCGATAGAGTTTTTAAAAACCCGACTTTAACTCTATGGTGATATTTTGGTATACAGTGGTATCGTACTTAATCCATTCCAGGTGCACATCTGTTAAGTGAAAAGTCCATTATATGAAACGCATTTTCCCATAGAAATACATGTTAAAACATATAATTTGTTCCGCAGCATAAAATAACTGTACTGTACCATAAAAAAATGAAAATGGAGCAGTCACCAATTATGCCAGGTAGTCAGATGTTGTGAGAAGGAGGAGATGGAGGAACACTTTCTTTACACATTCATACAGATACAGACTTTGTACACATTTCAGCAGGTCTCTTTTTATTGTTTTTTAATCGGAGTCAGATTCAGGAGAGGCTATCGGAGCTTGCAGGGTCATCTCCTCTTGTTCCATGCTTTGTTTTTTGGCAGCTTGCTTCTTGAAAAACATGTCCAAGGTTGTCTGTTTCTCTCTCTTCTTCAACACCTGTCGGAAATCAAGGGTGTCATTGTAGAGATCATTGATCCTGTTGGCCTCAGCTCTATTTGGATAATGAGTGTTGGTAAACTCCTTAACCTCTCCCCATTTGACAAGGAAGTTTTTGTCAACTTTTACTCCTTCTGATGATTTCTTGCTTTGTTTCAATTGAAATCACCTTTCTGTTTTTTTTAGAAGCCATGATTTGCACAACACTTGAATAAATGTAAATACCCTGCACTGAGGTGATGTACATAATAAACAAGGGAGCAAGCCGAATCCCAACGGAAGCTCTGTACTTCAGATATACTAATAATATATTTTAATTATACTAATATGTTATAAAAATAGCAGATTGTCATTGGCAACGGCAAAAGAGTGCAAACATCATTTGCACTTGTTCGCAGAAAGACCGTTGTTCACCTCACATAACTGCCGAACAGAAAGTCCGTTGTTCGCAGCATCCGTTATACAAGGCACCACTGTACTTCCAAAAAATGTGGATTTCCAAAATTCCATCTGAAGATAAAAATTTGCAGTTAGAGAGAAGACATATCACAGATCATCAATCCATCAAAATTGTCAGGATTATTATCTCCACATACTGTATGTGGCCAACAGTGAAAAATACAATAAATAAAAATACATGAATTGCATGACATCCACCATGCAGTCCAAAATATCCTGTATACAATATCATTAAGCCAACTGACAACTCTTTACCTGTCCCATAGCATCTACTGATTGCAATGGGTTAACCAAATGTCTCATTCATCAAAAAATTGGGAGAGTTGTGTATAGGATCCAGCTGCAATCATTTAAGGCATAAAGCTGTCTTTGTGTTATTAGAGGAAGGATAAAATGTAAATGAATGAAGTCTTGATGGTTATCACAAGTCAATATCTATTGGTTCAGGTGGCGGAACTTTGAAATATTGTCAGAGTTGATGAGCTCAGTTTTCTTATGCTCTCTATACAATCTGCATCATTCGGCATTAGTCAATTTGGACTTTTCTGATTCCTTTTAAACTTTTATTTCCAATGATATGAACAGAAACTTAAGAAATGTTTATTTCCTTTGTAATTTCTCCTAAATTATGAAAATTTTCTTCAACTTGCACACTTATTAGCTTTACATATTCTATTTTATCAGTTATTATTGCTAAATAATATTGCAGATCCTGTCATTCTGTACAAATCAACACCAATTTCAACAACTTATTTTTTTCTTTGCAATCCAAAGTTATACACTGCCCAAATGCCATGTGGCATTATCATTTTCATTGTTCACGAGCAACCACAAACCCCCCTCACAACTGCATACCCCACTACCCACCATTTTAAATACAAACATAAACCTTCTATCCAACAAAATTTTAATTGTTAGATCATCATTTATAATTTTCAAGGTGTAAGAGCAACAAATCTTGCCATTCTTTTGGCCGTTCCAGTTTTGATAGACCCCCCCCTCTATGCCAAACCAAATTTAAAGACATATTCAGGTCAAAAAATGCAAGAGCAACAGATGGATTCCATGGTATTTGCTAATTCCCTGACTTTCTCTGACATTTGATGCCATTCCCTGAATTTTCCCGCTAAAAATCTTATTCCCCAACTTTCCATGTCTGTATGGGTCCTGAATTTAGTCATTAAGATAAAAATGTTATTCATAAAATGTATATATAGCAAAAGTTTCTTGAGATTTATGAACTTCTTAAAATTGCAATATAACTTCACAATCAAGCAACTCAAAATAGGTTTAATTTCTAAAATGATATGATTAAAAGCACTGAATTTATATGTTATTTTTGGGTTATTCATCCATCACAAACATTTTCAGAATAAATTTGATCATTAAACTCCAATTAATATAATGATGATGACTAGTTGCATCTTTAAAAAAATCTTTGAAATATGCTAAATTTTTAAAAATTATAAAATTATAATATAATTANAAAATTTAATGTGATTTTAAAAACTAATGGAAAGAATATTTCTGTTAAAAATAATGAAATAATCACTGAAAATGTTTTAAAGTTCAATATAAATTTTTAACTCCTATGAAACAAATAGAGATAAAGTAAAGTAATTTATCTCATATTTGATTCTTAAAGGAAACAGTTATTCCATATGGTTTTAATAAGAAAAAAAATTGTAAATACTGACTTCATTCTTTATCTTTTCTTGTTCCTAAATCATTCAAAAATATAAAAAGTATACAAAAAAAACCCATAACTTAATAGGTATTAAAAGATTATAATACAATAAATTACAATAAATTTACCTGCTGTCCATCTGAGTTATGAATACATATTTCGCCTTCTCGCCGGCAAGAAAGTGACCAATTTCCAACTACTAAACGTGTTGTTCCAGGACATGATAATATTGGTTGACTAAGTGTAGTGGGTTTTACTTGACTTCTTGCTCGCTGAAGTTTTTCTAAAAATTCTCCACGATTTTCTTTAAAAAATCAAAATAATTTTAAAATTTAAACAGTTTTTTTATTTTTATAATATCTTAATACTATGTAAATTAATATTTTGATATTACTATACCATCTCATAATAGTTATCTTAGTATAAATACAACATGTAGATGAAGTTGAAAAGCATAGCTAATAATTTTGAAATCACATTTGGTATTAGCAAAACTACATATGTAGATTTTTCTCTTTTAATAACTCCAAATTTTAAAACAATAACTAATTCCAAGATATTTTATTAAAAACTTTATTATTAAACTCTTGTAAATACTTGAAAGTTTCAAGTCAATAAAATACAATAGAACGTCGATTTTCCGAATCAATTGGGGACTGGGGTTGTTCATATAACTGATATTTCGGATAACCGATTTGTGTACGAAAAAATAGTTTAATGTATCCGATGTAAATTTTTCTCCGTTGCGTGTCGCTTCGCGTTGAATTTTCGTCGATGTTAAGCCTAACGAAGACTATTGTATCGTAAAAAATTATTTTTTTATTTTGTACAAACAAAATAAATATATTGAAAAATATAAAAACAATAAAAAAATATACNAAAGAGAATGTGAAATTTCTGAATATCACAAAAAAGATTGTTCGCTTGCATTCTTTAGACACATTTCTTAACTCTGCTTCAAGCATGAATCGTGTTCTGGTAGCAATGTAGCAAAAGAATTAAAAACAGTTTTAAGTGCAAGAAACCCTTGGTAAATTGGAAGCCTGCCAAACCAAGATGTTTTAAGGTGCCCAAGCCAAGTTGTTTCAAGAATATAAACTTTACAAAATTTGAAATTGAATGAAAAATGAAACAGAAAAGTCTGGATGACAAATTATGACAAAGTAACTGGAACAGCTGAACAAGAAAATGTTGTGCCAAAATAGGAAACTGCTTTTTGAAAATGCTGCATCACATCCATACAGAGGATGTGAAAAGAGAAAGAAGGTAAAAATGACAAAAGTTAGTGAATAATATGAAAAATGTTAGTGCATTGGAAAGCATTATTTCTACTAATTATGGGTGTAAAGTGCACATGCTTCCTACAAACTGATGTAAACAGACACACAAAGCAAACTCCCACAATAGCAAGTTAGTCAACATAAAAAGTTTTACTATGTCATAATAAAACAGTGCAGTCAAACTGATTTTAAAAACTCACCATACAATATTAAGTTTTTGGCATCAATTGACTGCAACTGCAAAAACTTCAAACAAAAAATTTTTGCAGTTGCAGTCAATTGCAAAAACCAATGAAAATCTATTGTGTCCTTTAAGACAGAGCAACACATCAATCATAACAAAAAAAAAATATCTGTTAAGAAAGGATGTCTGCTTTAGAGAAGTTTCACTGTACAGTACATATTTACAAATCAAAACATTATCTAAATATCAGTTAAGTTAAATTAATTATTTTAGTTAATTAATTGAATAAATTATTTGTTTAATGTCTATAGAAGAGCATTTTCTTAAAATTTGAGGAATGCGTTCAAGAAATATGACAAAAATCTAAATTTGCAATTGATAAACTATTACATCTATGGAAAAAAAATGGTTTTCACAAAATTTACTAGATCATCATATCATTCTAGTAAATTAGAATTTATAATATAAATTCTAATTTACTAGAACATATTTATTATTATATAAATACATACATTAAATGATTATTCTTATTTTTTGGGACATGAGTGTATTAAAATATATGTATATATTTATTTATTTCATATTCATGTCCAACAATAAAAGTAATCATCTGATCTTAACAAAAAACAAAAAATAAACTAAGCATCAGTAAATTTTTATGAACATTTCCAGACAATAAATACCTATTAATAAGCCCTACTATCACTATTACCTAAAAATAGAATACAGTTGAATGTTCCATTAAAAATCATAAGTTTATTCAAAGTATGCAGTTTCCACAAATACAGAAATAGCATGGCATTGTTTCTGTTAAGGTTAACTACTGACAATGGTTACTGTTTTACTGTATGACTGACAGATAAAGATACCATGATGCCAGATAAAGACACCATATAAATGTGATGATACAGAGGCTGTTTTTTTTTTTTTTGAAAAAGAGAAGCTTTAAAATTTTTCCCCTTTTTTCCATCCAGTTCCGACAGAATAAGAACAGGAGAATATCAAATATTAACATAACTGTCAAAAAGACATCAACCCACAAAATTAGCACAAATATGTTATACCAGTTGACTGTCAAATGTGAGAAAGTTGATGATTAACTTACTTTAAAGCAGAAAACCTATAAACAATTGCTAACAAACAATCATGTCAGCGCTACCAAACAAACGGTCACCTGATCAGGTTCCCATGCTAAATACCCATATAATGACAGCATGCCCTACTGTTGGGGTGATCAGTCCCTGAGGAGTAGACTTGACTTGGTGAATTGTGACTTTGTCTTTCCCCCCACTCCCATCCAGATATGGGTCATCCGGAAATTACCTTGACTAGACCCATGATCATCTTACCAACATCGAATGAACAGGATCCAGAAACCAAGTATCAAGGTATTATACTCTCGATGGTAAACTCTCTCTCTCAATCATTTAGCATACGAGTTAGGGCCATTAGTAATAATTATAAATGCCTGTAGTCTACGTCATTGACCTGTAGTGGTAGTAATGCATAACTATAATTGTATCCGTTGCTTGTATATTGTATCTTATATTTTATTTTTCTATTAAACTTGTTGAATTTTAAAATGGTTGCTCTCACTCATGTATCGCCAATGCCCTATTGACTTACTCAATGCGATCTCCCTACTTGACGTTTTGTCCTCCTAGCCATCCAAGTGACAACATGAGCAGTCTTCAGCAGACCATCACCATTAAAAGAGGTCTTGAGTTTGACTCTCTCTTTACCACCTGGTTTCTCACAGACAATTTTATGAAAAAAATAATTATTGGAAGACTAGGAGCAAGCCACTCAAGAACAGATGTACCCAAGGCTCTGAATGTATTGCAGTGTCTTATTTAGACTTTCGGCCAGATTTCAAAGAGCAATTGCTGAATGTCAACCAGGAAGTGAATGTCTAAGAGTTACTGCCTATAAACAGGACCAATATTTAACATTAATAGCATGTAACAAAAAATATCTGGTAGACATGTTTACCATATATACCAGATAGTTACTACTATGGCAACTGATATTAACAACAAACTATTTACAGGAATCTTCAAGCAAATGGTATTTTTGCCTTATGCCAAGTACATTGTGTTCCATTGACTCCTGTGCACAGAAAAGCCAATTTAAAATGGTGCCAAAAACATTGACATTAAACTTTGAATGAATGGGACAATGTTCTCTTCGTCGTCTAAGTACAGTCTACAAAATGATTGGCTAAGTCAGGGATGCTTTTTTTTCATAAAGAGCCATTTTTAGAATTATATTTACCAAAATAATACAGCTGCAAGTCAGCAACTTGAAATATGAAATATAGATTTTTGAAAACTGAACCTAAAAAGTTGAGTTTATGAGTTTATTTGTGCTTTGCTTAAATGTGCTGTAATAGAATACACTGCAATTCAATTATTTATCATCAATGTTACAATAGCCATAATTATAATTATAAAATATTATTATTAATTAAAGTAAAAAATAAGTGATTTTAAACATTCTTACATATAAATTAACATTTTTCTTCAGTCAAACAGTATGCTGAGATTTCAAATATATTATAATATTACCTTGTATGAATAAAAAAGTTAAAATAGAGAACTTCATAAAAAATAAGAACAATATATGGTTTCTAATGAGATTTTTGTTGCTGAATTTCTCGAGAAAGTTTGTCAAAATTCAGTAAATATGATGTTACTTTTATTTTCAAACAAGACATCAGACTCACACTGTTCAGCTGATTTCAGACCATTTATGCTGTGCAGCAAAAATAGATTTCTGTCTCTCTAAATTTTCTAATTCACTTTTAAGATTTACAAATTTTGAACTCCACATTTCCTTGATTTTTAAATCTGCTAGTTCTAGTTGAAAAACTGCTTGATCAATATCACTAAAAGGTGAAAAATTCAAATTGGTAGAATTAATTTCAAGTGGTTTCAATAAAAATGATAAGGTTGCTTTTTCCTTTCTAAACTCTTTAAATCTCTCACCAAATTCCGATTTCATATTTATCACTATTTGTACAAAATGTGTTAAATCTATTGAAATATGATCCTGTTGATATTTCTTCAACACAGGAAAATGTAGCAATGTGCCTTTCTCTAAGTCTGCAATAAACAAACAATTTTGTTCAAAAGCAAGTACTTCTAAAAGCAAAATAGCTGTATTTCCCTTCCTTTGAAATTTCTTGTTTAGTGTGTTTAACTGTGAGGTCATGTCCACCATAAAATAAAATTTTTGTAACCAATCGTGATTATTGAGCTAAACGTATTTGAGATCTTTTTGGTTTAAAAATAATTTTATTTCTTCAATGCAAACACCAAATCACATTAACACTGCTCTTCTAAAAAGCCACTTTACTTTATTGTGTAAAAGACGATCAGAATATTGGCTATTGACTTTGTAAAAAGTTCACAAAATTGCTGATGATATAGTGGTCTTACCATTATTTTGTTCGCAATTTGTACAACCAAGTATGTAACTAATGTTATTTTCTTCGGAAAAGTTTGCAAACAAACCTTTCCAAAGGAAGTACCTCTTGATGGATTATTCAGTGAAAAGAAAAACGTCATGCAAAATTTGTTTTTTAAACATAGAAACAAAACCTTTCTTTTCACCTTTCATACTTGGTGCTCCATCAGTTGCAATTGATAATACGTAGTACGATCCAAAAGTTTGGGGACTTGGCATAAAATTCCTTACCCTAAAAAGTTTATATTGCCGATGCACAACCACCTTCAAAATAATTACCTTGGGCGACGATACACTTTTTTCCAGTGGTCGTATAACTTCTGGAAGCACTGCTGGAAGCCATTTTTTTGAAACCTCCCGTAAGGCCTCCTG